AAAGTTGGTGGTATAGTGGATAGTGAAGAAGGTTATCTAAGATTACAAATGGATCTTGATCAACTGGGCCAATCGGCTGAGGAGTGGCAGATGGAGTTTAATTTGGATAAATGCGAGGTATTGCATTTTGGTAAAACAAACAAAGGCAGAACTTATACAATTAAAAGTAGACCCTTGGGTAGTGTTGTCGAACAGAGAGACCTTGGGGTTCAGGTACATAGTTCTTTGACAGTTGAGTCACAGGTAGACAGGGTGGTTAAGAAGGAATTTAGCATGCTTGGCTTCATTGCTCAGACCATTGACTACAGGAATTGGGACAATATGTTGAGGTTTTACAGGATGTTGGTGAGGCCACTTTTGGAGTACTGTGTACAGTTCTGGTTGCCCTGGTATAGGAAGGATATTATTAAATTGAAAAGGGTTCAGAAAAGATTTACCTGGATTTTGCTGGGACTGGAGGGTCTAAGTTATAAGGATAGGCTGAATAGGCTGGGGCATTTTCTCATCGGAGCAGAGGAGGTTGAAGGGTGACCTTGTAGACGTTTTTAAAATTATGAGGGCATAGATAAGGTGAATAGCAAAAGTCTTTTCCCTCAGAATGGGGAGTTAAAAAATATGGGGCATATTTTGAAGGTGAGGGGAGAAAGATTTAAAAGGGACCTGAGGGGCAACTTTTTCACACAGTGTGGTTAGTGTATGGGATGAACTGCTAGAAGAAGTGGTAGATGCAGGTACAGTTACAACATATAAAATACATTGGGATAAACACATGAAAAAGCAAGGTTTAGAAGGATATGGGCCAAACGCAGGCAAGTGGGACTAATTCAATTTGGGAAACTTAGTCGGCCTGGACAAGTTGGACCGAAGGGTCTGTTTCCGTGCTGTATGACTCTATGACTCTATAAGTACAAACTATCTGTTAATTTGAAGCATCATAGATTTAACATTGTAAATAGACTTCTTGGGGAACCCGTTAGCTGAATTCTTGATGATACTGTGCAAATTGGCAGAACAGTGAGTACGGGTCAGGACTTTAGGAAATGTTAAAGGATTGCTTAATTTGTGGAATTAATAATATTGTGACTCGTAGGAAGGTACTGACAAAACCAGATCTGGACCTCAAAAAAGCCATAGAACTGAAGCCTATACCACAAAAAATGCAGGATAAAGGGGCTTGGGAGCTTCAATGGTCCATAGATGGTACTGTCCTCAACCTGGGCGACACCCCAATACCACAAACCCAAGACCCCAGCCAATAGTACCTGCAGCTTTCATTTGTTGCCAAGGAAAGGGGATTGGAGTTAGAGGCCGCAAGGTTCTTGAATTGTATGGAAAGTTTCTCCGTAATACAGTGAGGAGCAATATGTCCATGCTGCACTTGTGTCATAGATTTCCCCAAGAAAAGGCTACCCCAATGGGTGAAAGGCGTACCACCCAGGTTGAAGGGCAAAGCTACCTCAAGACAGGGCTTTGCAAATAAATCAGGATGAGGAATTGATAAAACTAAATTACATCATTGCTCCCAAAATAGCCCCAATTAAGATAAAACATCAGGTAAATGGCCACCCCCAGAAATGCAGTTTGACATAGGTGACACTGTTTTAATTGTTCGGGAGAAAAACTTTAGGAAACTCTGATAGGGCATCTTGCCTTTAAGCCTGTGAGACACCAAGGCTAGATTGGTGAACCCTGGTGGAGGCAGAAAGGAAGTATGCCCTGTTTGAGAAAGAAGATTTGACCATCATATGTGTAGTGAAAAAGTTCCACCAGTACGGCCCTGGTCAACGTTTCACTGTAGTAACTGACCATAAGCTTCTAATGGGCCTCTTTATGGAAGGCATGGCGATTCTACCATCGCATCAGCTCTGATCTAACACTGGGCATGGCTATTGGATGCCTATGAATATACTTTGGAACATCATCTAGGAAACCATATAGTCAATGCAAATGCCTTGAGCTGCCTGCCACTACCCACCAGCATACTTTACCTCTGAAGATGGATGAAGTAATCATGACTTTGAACTTCATGACACTCTCTACCAGAATTGGGCAAGCAAATCCAGGCTTGGACCCAAAAGGACTGTACGTTGGCAAAACTACATCTTGTCATCTTAAATGTTGGACCACAAGGACTTCCTTTGGATGGGTTGAAACTGTATATTTTAAAGTATCAGGAGATGAGCATAGAAGATTGCAGTATCTTATGTTTGTCTTTCTTCCAAGTCAGTGACCAATACTCCAAGAATTGCACAAAGGTCACTCATGAATTTCTAAAATGAAAATGCTCACAAGGAGCAATGTTTGGTACCCTAGCTTAGACATGGATATTGACAACCTGATCAAGTGGTGCAAAACATGCCAAGAAAACCAGAAGGCCCCACTAGCAGCCTCAACGCACCTATGGAAAAGGTCAGGCAGATCCTGGGTGTGAGTACATGAAGATTTTTCAGGGCCATTTATGGGGTCTACGTTCTTAATCCTTATTAATGCCATTCAAAATGGTTTGATGTGCACCGAATGGCCTCTAATACCTCTTACAACATCATAGAAAATCTCTGCCAGTCTTTTGGTATGCATGATGTACCTGACGTCCTTGTAATAGACAATGGGACCCCAGTTACCAATGGGGAGTTTGAAACTTTATGAAGACAAACGGAGTAAGGCACATCCACATGGCAGGCTACCACCCATCCTCCAGCTGAGCAAACAGTCCAGATATTCAATGTAGCAGGAGAAAGCAAAGTGCAGGGGCTTTGGAAAGTAAGCTTGCACTTTTCCTCTTCAACTCTAGGACAACAATGCATATGACAACGGGAGTAGTCCCGGTGGAACTACTGATCAGCCGACACCTTTGGACAAGGCTTAACCTGAATTTTCCTAACCTGGGTGGCAAGATTGAATTAAAACAAGAAGCCCAGAAAAGGTGCCAAAATGGGCCTAGGCCAGACAGAGACTACATTTTTCCCTTATATACAACCCAGCCACCAACTCTCTGGGTATTTGACTTGATACATCTGAATCAGTACGTGGGCCAGGAAAGTCTCTTTCATCTCTTCAGATATTTCTGTTTCCTTTGGTCAAATGCTGTATTGTGCTTTCTACATTAAATAAAATGTTGTTGTATGATGATCCTTGAATAATGTTTTTAGACTATGTATCCACTACTAATTGGACTGCCTATCCTAGAGTTAGATCCTCTTTGGATTGAAGAAGTTCTGTAATTGAATAAGTAAATCAGTAATTCAGTAATTCAAAGACACAGGTGAATTCTTGTTATAAGTATGATAGTTCAGATAGTACATGCAAGTAATTAGTGAAGCTATTTCCAGACTCTCATGGGAGTTGGGATCTGCTATTGAAGCATGATCTCACAATTTCCAATTTGTTCTTGAAGTGAAATACTTACCAAAAGCTGTTATAAGGCTGTTAAATGTAATTTGATTCTGACTGATCTGTTGTCTATATAACACATCATCTGATGCTCTTCCCCTATCATAGAGAAGTGCACGAACCTGTTTTGCATTTCACACTAGCCACTGCCCACCTACCATCAAATTTTATTGTGCGTTTTTTCAATCCACCAGTACAAATTGGCCCCTCACACCTTCTTAGTTTATCTTGTTCAGATTAAAGACCCTAGTTCCAGAATGAGCTATATCACATTGAAACCTAATACAAAATGATTTCGTATTATAGTCGCTATTTCTCAAAGGCTCCTTTAAAGCAAGGTTATCAATTAACCCTTTTTCATCTCACAGCACCATATCTAAAACAGCCTGATCCCTAACTGATTCTTCAACATCTGGTCCGGTTGTGTTCTACTGTCCTAAGACCAGACAGGAAGGCAGATTCAGGACTTTAATGAACAAGATGGTTTTTACAGAAATTGACAGTGATCATATAGTTGCCATTAGATCAGATATTTATTCCACATTTTATTGAATTCAAATTTCACGATCTGCCATGGTGGGATTCAAAACCATTCCCCTCGAACTGGGGTTCTGGATTACTCGTCCAGCGACGCTAACACTACACCACCTTTTCTTATGTGATGCATGCCTTTACCATATTTGTCTTCTAATTTTGCTTATTACTTTTCTACTTTCTGTGACCAGTATGGCTTCTCTCTAATTTGATCTTCCTCTCATGTTCCGTGATGTGGAGTCTCCATTATTGAATATACTTAAGATGGGATAGACAGATTTTTGTCTCTTAGCAAATTGGGGAAAATGCATAGCAAGTGGAAAAGTAGAGATGAAACTTGAGATCAACCATGGTTATATTGAACAGTGGACCAGGCTCAATCAGCCAAATGTCTCCTCCTGCTCCTGTTTGTTGTGTTCTTGTGAAAGGTTCATTCTGTTCAGCTTATAATTAGCTTAAGACGGTCTCTCCACAAAGGGAGTGCTCTCCTCTTACGTCAATTGATCAGTCATTTCATTCAGATAACAAACAAACTAAACCAGAGTCAGATTTTTGTCAGTTCATCAATAAGTTTCATAGGTCAAGACTGAATAAACCTAAAGGTGTTAGAAACAAGAGTAGGAGTGTCCAGTCCAGTCATTCAAGTCTGTTCCACTACTGCTGATCTTCTCCCTCAATTTCACCTTCCTACATTAATTCCAAGATCCTAATTCCCTGATCCCCGAAAAAACTGTTAACGTCTGTCTTCAATATACTCAATGACTCAGCACCCAACCTGAGGTAGAGAAGTCCAGGGATCCATGATCCTCTAAGTGAAGAAGTGTTGTATTAGCTCAGTTCCAAGCAACTGGTTCCTTTCTTGTGACTTGTGAACATGACTATTGTCCCCACTCTCACTCTCCAGACAAGCTGACTGAGTCCCTGAAACCAACTTATGCACAGGTCACCAGTATCTGCCCAATTAACAAGTGTTCGAGTTCCCTGTGGGAGACTTCATGACTTGGATGGATCGGAAATGTAGACGAGAGGTCAGAAGTGGAAAAAGCGTGAAAGACTGTTCAGATACAGACTCCAACCTCAGTAAGCGCATGCCAGCTGTTGCTCCAAGATACACCGGGGTCACGTGCTGTTGTTTTTCAGGAATTCGTTCTTTAGCCTTTTCGAGGCACATTTTCAGGGAGAGACCGGCCTGGTCAATATCATTCCAATAACTGGAAATGCCTGGTCCTGCAAAGGACGGAAAAGAGAAAGCCTGTCAAGAGGCACATTAGAATCATAGAATCCCGACAGTGTGGCAGAGGCCATTCAGCCCAACAAGTCCACACTAACCCTCCAAACAGCATCCCACTCACTCTATAGCCCTACATTTCCCATGGCTAATCCACCTAGCCTGCATATCCCTGGACACTAGGGGCAATGCAGCATAGCCAATCCAATTTACCTGCACATCTTTGGATTGTGGGAGGAAACTGGAGCACCCACAGGAAACCCACACAGACATTAAACAAACATGCAAACTCCACATAGTTGCCCAAGGCTGGAACTGAACTCAGGTCCCTGGAGCTGTAAGGCAGTAGTGCTAACAACTGAGCCACCACACTGCCTACGTATGTTTATACAATATATCTTTTCAGGGGCAGAATATATGCATGTAATATGTATACATGTTATACATGTATTCTTGTACATATATATATACATATAACCAAATACTATTCCTGTGATTCTGTTTATTTCATGTGGATATGAAATATTGTGAATGGGGCAGAGAGTCGGGCAGGGAAGGAAGTTCCTTCAAAATCCCGGATCTGCCATCCTCACTGCATACTGGATATCCCTACACCCTAAGGATTGCAGTGGGCAGTTCATTACCATTTTTTCCAGGGCAATTAAAGATAGGCAATTAATGCTTTCCAAGCCAGAGATGCCCTTATCACTTCAATAAATAAAGAAGAGAGAGAAAAACAGTTATAGTCAGAGGTATCGATGAGAGCGAGGGGAAGGGGAGCACAGGGTTGGAGAAGAAGGAGAGGGAGAACAAGACAGGAAGAGATAGAAAGGGAAAGAGATATAGAGAGGGACTGAGAAAGAAAGTAAGCGTGAGATAGAATAAGAAAGAATGATATGAGGGGAGTGAGAGGATGAAAGGGAGAAAGTGAGAGAGGAAGAGACACCATGTTAAGAAAGAGGGAAAGTGTCTGAGAGAGGGAATGAGGGATCATAGGGGGAATAGAGATACAGAGAAGATAGAGGGAGAAAGAGGGAGGGAAAGGAAGTGAGAGAGGAAAGACAGACAAAGAGGAAGAAAGCGTGTGAGAGTGAGGGAAAATCGGGAAAACAGAGAAAGACAGGGAGAGCAAAAGACTGAAGGAGACGATAACAGCGAAACAGGCAAGTAAGTCAAAGACAGTGAGGGACAGCCTGAGATAAAGAGTGAAGGAGAGAGCAAAGGAGGGTGAGAGAGAGGTGGAAGGGCTATTGGTGAGGGAAGAGTTAAGGTCAGCAGCAAGGGATGCAGAAAGAAGTAAGACAGAAGGGGAGAACAAGAGACAAAAGGGAGAGTGCAAGCAAATTAGAGAGGGGTAGAACTTAAGAAACAGAGGAGAAGAAAATGAAAGGCAAAGGGGGCAGAGGTAAGTGTGGGAGCACAGGGGGAGAAAGTAAGGGTCGGAGACAGAGTAGGAGTTCTGAGTAACATCTAAGCAAACTTCAGGCAGGGAATCTCCTACCGTTCACTTTGCAGGAATCCACCTCTGTGACTATACCAGTGTCATTCACCTTCTCAGCTGGCCAGGAGTAGATGTACAATGCAGTGTGAGAGGAACCAGCATCAAGCACTATTCCATACTGTGGACACAGGAAAGGAACATGGCATCATTCTGCAATGACATATATTAGATTGTAATGCATTATTACACTAACATGATATCAGAGGGAGCTGATTCACACATCAGACCCAATATTCAGGCTGTCCATCAGAGGAGCACAAAACTGCATCACTGCTTCCCTTTGCCTAGAATCTCACTGTCATGTGCTTTACCAACTTTAGGGCTTTGTCTTTTCCACAGCAGGAGCAAGTGTTGAGCTGCCAGCCTGTATTTTATCTGGAGATCAAGTCCGAAAAGATGCATTGTGCAAAATTCTGATATTCTATCATACAATGATTTATGAGCTCTCTGCCTCTGGTGTGATCTCTGCTCAGTGAGTTTATTCTCCAGGATTGAGGGTGTTTATTCTCCAAAAATTCTACATGGACTTCAGTAAAGCATTTGACATGGTAGACTAGTTAGTAAAGTTAGATCACATGGGATATAGGGAGAGCTTGCCAATTGGATACACAATTGGCTTGATAGTAGGAGAGAGGATAGTGGTGGAGGGTTATATTTCAAACTGGACATCTATGACCAGCAGTGTTTCACAGGGATCAGTGCTGTGTCCACTGGTGTTTATCATTTCTATAAATGATTTGGATGAGAATTTAGGAAGCATGGTTAATATATTTACAGATCACACCAAAACTGGTGGTATAGTTGACAGTGAAGAAGGTTATCTAAGATTACAAAGGGATCTTAATCAGTTAGGCCAATGGGCCGAAGAATGAAAGATGGGGTTTAAATTGGATGAATGCAAGGTGTTATTTTTTGGTGATATGAACAAGGACAAGTTAATAGTTAATATACAGTTAATGGTAGGGCCTGGAATGGTATTGTTGACCAGAGAGACAGGGGTACAGGTACATAGTCCTTTGAAATTGCACCACAAGTAGACAGTGTGGTTAAAAAGGCATTTAGAATGCTTGCCTTCATTGCTCAGACTATTGAGTATTGAAGTTGGGACATCATCTTGAGATTGTACAGGACTTTTGGAGTATTCTGTACAGTTCTGGTTGCCTTGCTATTGGAAGACTATTATTAAATTCGAGAGGGTTCAAAAAACATTTCCCAGGATGTGGCCTGGACTGGACGGTCTGAGTTTTAAGGAAAGGCTAGATAGGCTGGGACGTTTTTCACTGGGGTGTAGGAGGTTGAGGGGTAACCTTATAGAGGTTTATAAAATCTTGATGGCCAAGAAAAAGTGAATAGCCAAGGTCTTTCCCTAGAATGGAGGAGTTCAAAACTTGAGGGCATATTTTTAATGTGAGAGAAGAAAGATTTAAAAGGGACCTGAGGGGCAAATTTTTCATATAGAGTCATAGAGCTGTACAGCATGGAAACAGATCCTTTGGTTCAACTCGTCTATGCTGACCAGATATTCTAAACTAATCTACTCCCATTATCAGCATTTGGCCTATATAAACCCTTCTTATTCATATACCCATCCAGATACCTTTTAAATGTTGTAATTGTACCAGCCTCCACCACTTCCTCTGGCAGCTCATTCCATACACGCACCACCCTCTGTGTGAAAGGGTTGCCCGTTAGGTCCCTTTTAAATCTCACCTTAAACCTATGCCCTCTAGTTTTGGACTCTGCTATCCTGGGGAATAGACCGTGGCTATTCACCCTATCTATGCCCCTCAAAATTTTATAAATTTCTGCAAGGTCACCTCTCAGCCTCCAACGCTCCAGGGAAAATAGCCACAGCCTATTTAGCCTCTCCCTATAGCTCAAACCCTCCAACCCTGGCAACATCCTTGTAAATCTTTTCTGAACCCTTCCTAGTTTCACAACATCCTTCCTGTAGCAGGGAGACCAAAATTGCATGCAGTATTCCAATAGTGGCCAAACCAACGTCCTGTACAGCCACAACATGACCTCCCAACTCCTGTACTCAATGCGCTGACCAATAAAGACAAGCATACCAAACACCTTCTTCACTATCCTGTCGACCTGGGACTCCACTTCCAAGGAACTATGAACCTGTACTCTAAGGTCTCTTTGTTCAGTAACACTCCCCAGGAGCTTACCATTAAGTGTTTAAGTCCCGCCCTGATTTGCCTTCCCAAAATGCAGCACCTCACATTTATCTAAATTATACTCCATCTGCCACGATTCGGCCCATTGGCCCATCTGATCAAGATCTGTTGTACTTTGAGGTAACCTTCATCGCTGTCCACTTCACCTCCAATTTTGGTGTCATCTGCAAACTTACTAACCATACCTCCTATGTTCACATCTAAATCATTTATATAAATGATGAAAAGCAGTGGACCTAGCACCGATCCTTGTGGCACACCGCTGATCACAGGCCACCGGTCTGAAAAGCATTCATGGAATGAACTGCCAGTGGAAGTGGCAGATGCAGGTACAGTTACAACATTTAAAAGACTTTTGGACAGGTACATGAATAGAAAAGGTTTAGAAGGATATAGGCAAAACACAGGAAGGTGGGATGAATTTAATTTGGGAAACTTGGTCAGCATGGTCACGTTGGACCAAAGGCTCTCTTTCTGTGCTGTATGACACTGTGACTCTAAAATGGAGGAAGTTCATTCTTCAGCATTGAGATTGTTTTCTAGAGTTGGCAAGAGCTACATTTTCTGGTCCAAGAACAGTGATACATTTTACTGAGATCTGCTTCCACTTTTCATTCATTCCCAACCTTGAAATACCGACACAAAAATTCACAGGAATCTCAAGGCTCATCTCTAGTTCAGGGAGCTGATTATTATTCCAAGAGATTAACAAGTGGGTGGAATGGGTAGGTACAGATAAGGGAGGAGGTGGTGGCATGGTGGAAATTTCACTGGACCATTAATCCAGAACCCCAGGTTGATATTCTGGGGTTGTGGGTTTGAATCTTACCATGATACCTGGTGAATTGTTGTTAAAATCCCACCTGGTTTACTAATGTCCTTTACCTGTCTTCCCTACCTGATCAGGCCTACATGTGTCTGCAAACGCACATCAATGTGGTTGACTCTTTACTGCTCTCAGGCATTAAGGGATAGGTAATAAATACTGGCTTTGCCAGTGATGCCTACATCCCATGAATGAGTAAAAAAATATGCCAGAACAAATTACATACAGAAATAATAAAACATGGCCAGGAAGCAAGAGCTTAAGTTGGATATGAGAAAACATATGCAGGACATCATTGACCAAACATTAGAGCTTTCCAAAAGATATTCACAGTTACCTTCAGTTTCGTTGGCAGTGACTTGTTCTGTACCACAGATACTGTCACCAGTATTACTACACCAGCCACCATCAGAGTGATGATCAATGCAATCAGGTACCTGTACCTCTTAAGTTTTATTTCTGTAAATGAAGGAAAGTATGTGTAAAAAAGCATGGCAAGAGATCTTGTAAATTCTTTGAAAGACTCATCATAGTTTTGATTTTTTAAAAATTTCTATTTCTCCTACTTGTGTCCCTCAGTTTCAGGGAGATTTCTGTCTTGAATACTTTCCTTTTTTTTGAAATATCGGATGTACATCACAGAAGCAGGCCATTCAGTCAAATTAAGAGATAACACAGTTTGGAGCTGGAGGAACACAATAGGCCAGGCAGCATCAGAGGAGCAGGAAAGTTGACATTTCGGGTCAGGAATTTTCTGAAGAAGGGTCCTGACCCGAAACGTGAACTTTCCTGCTCCTCTGATGCTACCTGGTCTGCTGTGTTCCTCCAGCTCCACACTGTGTTATCTCTGACTCCAGCATCGGCAGTTCTTACTATCTCTGATTCAGTCAAATTGGTTTTTGCTATGGCATTGATGCCAACACTGTTACATCCTGCCCTAATAGTAAATCCTTCTATTCTTGATGCATCCTCGTCAATATTATTGCTAATCCATACCACTTGAACAGATTTTTCTGGTCGTTTTTCTCATTACCATTTGTATGCAAACAGATTGTTATGTTTGCATATGTTACAACACTGACAATATTTCAAAAGTACTTTGTCGACTGTAAAGTGTTTCAAAATGTCCTGAGGATTTAAAGTTGGATCATGAATGCTCCATCCATCAATCAATCAAATTGGCAGGGTACTGTACATCAATTTCCTTGGGCATTGAACCTACGGAGTCATGGAAAAAATTAAATTTTCAGGGGTCAGAAACAGAAAATCATTGAATAAATGTTATCAAGCACAATTCAAGGGGGTATTCTGTGTTAAATTTAAGATTAAAATAGATTAAGTTGAAAGTTTATCAGTGTATGGCATGTATACAATAAAGCTCATGATATGATTAAATTCAAAGCATTGCAACAAAAGTCATCAGCAAGGGCAAGAGTGTGGCTCTTAGACAGCTGTCTCTCTTCATCCATTCCTACTTTGATGCCAGGTCCTTTGATCATACAGTGGGTGCAACTGAATGAGGGACACCTCTGGGAGCTGGCTCGTTTGCATTCTACATGGCAATCCCTCTGCTTGCCACTAATGGCATTGAGATGTAGGTGGGGCCCCTTATGCTAGCTTCCTGCCTGATTAAATGATCATTAGCACAGGAAAGGGCACAAGAATCCACCTACGATTCTCGACTTAGTGAAGCTGTCTTCAGCAGGATGAGATGGAGACCAGGAAAATTTAGACCTGTTAGCCTAACGTCAGCTGTCTAGAAATTAGTGAAATCTGTGATTGAAAATAGTGTCACTGAATATATTGAAAATTTTCACCTGAGCAGAGAAAATGAACATGGACTTTTAAAACAATAAGAACAGAAATATGATAAGTTATTGGCAGATCTGAAGACATGTATGGAGAGAGCAACAGAATCAATGTTTCACCTTGATGCCTTTTCATCAAAACAATTGGATTTGTAAAGGGTAGGTCATGCCTGATGAAAGTGATTGACTTTGAAGAGACAACAAAAGTAATGGACAAGGGAATGCTCATGAACGCCATTTATATGAACTTCCTGAAGGCATTTGATAAAGTTTCTCATAACAGGCTGCGAGCTAAAGTTGAAGCTCATGGAACTGAAGGCAAATTGTTGACCTGTTTCAGAGATTGGCTTAGCAACAGGAGACAGAGAGTAATGGGCAGGTACTTGCATTGGCAGCATGAGACTACTGGTATCACGTAGGATCCGTGATCACAAAATGAATGGTGGAGCAAACTCATTGAGTTGAATGGCCCACTTCTGTTCCTACATCTTATGATCTTAATGTGTTACAGCACAGAGGAGCCCATTCAGCGGTCGAATTTATGTTGGCCCTCTGCAAGAGTAATTAGCTAGTTCCTAGTTGCTCATGCGAACACAACAGCCTCTACTATTCACCATATTTATTGATGACTTAGCTGATGGAATGAGGAACCAAATATCCAAATATCATCATCACAAAAGCTAGTGCTGGATCCTGCGTAGATAGAAACATTACATTCTAAGAGCTAGTGATACACTAAATGAGAAGAAAAGTCTGTTGCAAATGGATTTCAATGAAGGAAAAGGTAAGATAATCTACTTTGGACCTAGAAATGATTAAACTGAGGACGTGTGTGGGCTTCTGACGCAATGGTAGCTCATCTGACTCCACATCAGAGGTTTGCATGTTCAAACCACATCGGGCTCATGGTGTTTGACGATAGCTCAATTCCTTTGATCTTAGGAGGGCATGGTCGCTCACCCTCAGGTGACTGTCTGTGTGGAGTTTGCACATTCTCTCTGCATGGATTTCCTCAGGGTGCTCTGGTTTCCTCCTACAGTCCAAAAATCTGCAGGTTAGGTGGAATAGCCATGCTAAATTGCCCATTGTGGCCAGGGATATGTACTTTAGGTGGATTAGCCATAGGAAATGCAGGGATAGGGTAAGTGGGTGAGTCTGGGTATGATGGTTTCCTGAAAGTCGGTGTGGACTTGTTGAGCCGAATGGCCTGTTTCCACACTACAGAGATTCTGTGGAATCACTATCACTAGAGAAAAGAAAAAGATCATTAAATTATGAGGAACAGAAAAATAATCCAAAAGGCAGTTGTTTCTTGAGGACTCAAATACAAAGTGGTAGAAGTCACACTTCAAGTGTACAACACATCTGGAGTCACCGTGATCAGTTCTGGATGACAGACCTTTTGAAGGAGATGTTGGCCTTGGAGACAGTGCAACACAGATTTACTAGAATAATACCTGGACTCCCAGGGTTACATTATAAGGAGAGATTAGGCAAACTAAGGTTCCATGCCATGGAATTTGGGAGGTTATGGGGTGATTTGATCAAAGTTTTCAAGGTATTAGAGAGAACAAATAGGTCAATGGAGAGGAACTATTTCCACTCGTCAGGAAATCCAGGACTAGGGGGCTGAGACTAAAAATTACACAAGGCCAGTCAGGAGTGAAATCAGGAAACACTTTTAAACACAAAGGGCGATGGAAGTTTGGAACTCACATCCTGAAAAGCAATTGACATTAGGCCAATTGTTATTTTCAAACCAAAAGTATTACCAATGCAGGACAAATGTGGGTAGATGGAAATCGGTTTCAGATTAATCATGATCTCTTTGCATAGTGGACCAGGTTCAAGAAACTGACCAGCCTATTCCCATTTCTATGTTCATTAAGACTTACACACTCAGTCTTTATTTTTACATATTTATATTCTATATCATATAGATATTAAAATAGTCAAACTTATGTTGCATTGGGAAGCAAGCAGTAGAACTGGTAGAATAACAATCTGTAGTACAGACTAAGAAGCATGGAGATTCCACCTAAGATATCGTGGCTGTTTGATAAACACTTTATTCTTTATGTTAAAAGTACCCTGGCAAACATGTGAATGTTTTCAGTAACTAACCACCACTGTTAAAAAAAAAGTTAAGGTCTATCAAGCCAGGTTTCACTCTAGGATCTGACTTGTACAATATTAACATCAACTGGATCATAACAGGTAGAATGATTTCATAAAAGAGGAGCTAACTCTGAACAGGAGAATGTAAAAACTTTAATTTTAATTTAGATTCTTACATTGTATGTATAAAAAAACTCGAAAGTTAAGGCTATGCTTCACCCAATCAACCAGTGACAACACGTAACATGGCAAAACATGGGTGGCACGGTGGCTTAGTGGTTAGCACTGCAGCCTCACAGCGCCAGGGACCTGGGTTTGATTCCAGCCTCGGGTGACTGTCTGTGCGGAGTTTGCACATTTTCTCCGTGTCTGCGTGGGTTTCCTCCCACAGTCCAAAGATGTGCAGGCTAGGTGGATTGACCACACTAAATTGCCCATAGTGTTCAGGGGTGTGTGGGTTATAGGGGGATGGGTCTGGGTGGGATGCTCCAAGGGTCGGTGTGGACTTGTTGGGCCGAAGGGCCTGTTTCCACACTGTAGGGATTCTATGAAAATGAGAATTTCCTGCAATCCAGGAATTAATTCTGTCTGAGTAATTAGGCTCTCATCTACACCTGCTCACAGGTTTTATGTTATGTTCAAACTTATGTTTTTTCGAATCTGTAATGGCACAAAGGAAACTTGACAGATACCTCCTCAAAATCAGAATCTCAAAGTCCAGGGAACTTTAACAATTTCACACTCTTGTGGTTATCCTCCGCCATCTTTGCATTTCATGTATTAATCAACCTTTTACACAACCTTTTAGAATATTAGTTCAAAGACAGTCCTGATTTACTGCTTGTATCGTAAAATAACCTGTTATGAACCTCAGCATGAGGTTCTTGGCATGACTACAGGAATGGAACTACAGTCAGTGTTTATACAATTTGCTGCCAGTGCACAACACATGGTTTTATTGTCCACTGAGTGCAGAGAGTTGGTTATGGTCAATGGAGCTAGAACTGGACAAAATATTCACAAGGTGCTGGAAATCTGAAATGCAAACAGAAAATGTTGCAAACAATAAGTGGAATGGGCAGTATCTGTGGAAGGAACAGGTAGGATCAATTTGGATCAATAACCCTTGTGTCAGAACAAAGCTGAAATAAAAACTGTGTTTCCCTTTCCATGGACGCTGTCAGGTCCAGGAAACAATAGCTTATTACAAACGGACAACTGTGGTGCCACTATCACGTAACAATTCAGGAAGCCTGACTGGAAAAAAAACATCATTTATTGTTGAGCACCAAAATAGAGCCACTACTCATGGCATACAGAGGCTAGTCCTAACCCGGAACAGACAGTTCTGCAAATCTATCCCTGGGTCTGCTTTTTTCTTTTGTACTTATCAGAAGTGCTTTCACATAACCAAACGTTTTTATTACCATCACCAAATCACTGTGACCTTTTTTTAAATGTTTTTAGCTGTTAACCACCAATAGTAAATCACCCGTGTAGCCAATTAGATATTTAAATACAAAGACCATTAAG